GGCACAAACCAGGTAATTCATGGTATAGCATTGTTTTAACATGAAAATCTTCTTCTTTCTTTAGAAATAAAACATAGATCGCCAATCAACCTTTGACACAGTGTCACGGTGTCATTCATATACAGAAACGGCTATTTTTTTTTTATCCGACATTATTTTTATTACCTTAAAGGTTATTTGACTCTTTGAGATGCATTTTTTGTGTTGTTTTGAACACGAGTAGGAACCTTTATTGCGAGCCTTCGCGCGTTGAGCGCGGCTAGAATTCGAGTGAGCGTCTTTAAATTTTTAAAAACTTTCAGCACGCCACTCTCATTGTTAAACAAGGTGAGGTTAATAGTGGGAGAGAATCAAACATGAAGAGAAACTAACAACACCAAAACAAAACAAAACCCACTTTAAAATGGCCGAATGGAAGTGGCCGAATGCGCTTTGGGGATAACAAACAGTATGGGCAATGTTTGTATTCCCCCACTCCACCTAACGGAAAATGTAAGAACGCTGAGCATACTAAATAAAACTAATATATATATATATATATATATATATATATATATATATATATATATATATATATATATATATATATAGGGACAGATTAACTACTAATATTCCATGGTCATAATTTATTCCATTGGAATCGTAAATACGATCAAAATTTTGAACCTGCAATTCAAAATGAATTGAAGGTATTTACGATTCCAATGGAATAAATTAGGACCATGGAATATTAGTGTTTAAGGCTTTTATTCTATCCTTTCTCTGTCCTGGACATTGAGTTCTACCTGTATTTTATCCTCTTGGAATTATTTTTCTTTATACAAATATATATCTATGTGTATGTATGTATATATATTTATATATTTTGCATATGTATGTGTATATTTACCACTAATATCTATCTATCTATCTATCTATCTATCTATACATATATATATATATATATATATATATATATATAAATGGCAAACACAGATCACGCCCAAACGCTTAATACTCCCACAAACATAATACACTGGGTAATGTGGAGGAGACGTAATTTTCTACATTGGTTAAGTTCGTACAGTGCAGTAAATGAAAAGGGCATGCACAAAATAGAACCCCCACCCCATCAAAAAATGCACTCCTAAAACTTTTGGGATGCGAAATAAGCGGCAGTTAAATTTAATCTAATAATTACCCTTTTTTGAGAGGTTTATTTTCGGCGCATTCTTTGTATGAGTATGTGAGTCAATATATATATATATATATATATATAGATACAAAGAAACATTAATAATAAGATTTGAAAATACACCTGATGTCTATATATATTTCTATGCAATATTTGTGACACATGTAGGTTTTCAGTGAAAAAGTATTATAATTGCTTTAATGTAAAACATTTATAATAATTTTAATAATAATGATGATAAAAATCATGTGTATTTCAATTTTTTTCTCCTAATAACAAGACTTGTACAAACTTTATAACACCTTCATTTTCCCCTATATATATATATATATATATATATATATATATATATATATATATATATATATATATGATAAAACAAAGTATAAAAATTTATTAACGACGCGTTTCGACCGGAAAGCGCTTCCTCTCGTTGGTTTTCTCTTGTTAGATTGAAAGAAAGACAAACGTTAGGTCTAAGGAAAATGCCTTCGGATTCTCTTCGGCTAAGTGGGAATCATAAATCAAATTTAATTACCTTAGCTTATCACCTCCAAATGTCCAGACATAAGAAAGTGTCTGTCCGCATGTTTGTTTGTCTGTTTTATCTATATCTATATTAGGGCCGTTTAGTATTCTTGAATTTTCAATCAGGAATATATATATATATATATATATATATATATATATATATATATATATATAAATATATAAATAAATATATTTAAGCAATCCTTCCTTTTATGCATGTTTCATTAAAACGACAGACAAGGTACTACGGTTGAGCTTTTTATTTAATTTTTCTTGTGTTCTGACAAGAGCTTTCTTTTCTGGACAAAGAGTGTGTAAGAACTGTCCGAATGTTCTGTATTTCCGAGCGCTTTCGGCTATATCTTTAGCCATTATCAAGGATGATTCAATATCAGCTTAGTAGAGTGTGTGTGTTCTGTGTATGTTCAGTGTGTGGTAGTGATGTTTTTAGTTTCCGAATACGGTTAGCACATTGTGGCTTTGTTCATAGTTAATATTGTTAAGAGTTGACTTTTTCTTTTTTATTATTAGAGCTTCCATTATTTTTAGTCTTTTTTTGCAAATGGATGAAGTTAATATATTTGTGTTTTCTACTAGTATGTTCCTAATAGTGTCGGGTAAATCTGAGTGTGTGTTTAAATGTGTTCTGATGGAACTGTGATCAGATAGGTGTAATGTAAGACGTCTGGATAAACATGTGGTTGTGTAGCCGATGTAATTATTTATGAGTCCGGTTTGGTGAGGAACGCAGTTCCTTAAAGGGCATTTGAACTCATAGATAATGTTTGTTCTTTGTAATTTTGACTTAGTTGGTGTGTTGTTATTTTTGAGGATAAGGTTGGCCGTCTTAAATTTTTTATAATAGATAATAAGTTTGATTTTTTATTAGGATCAATAGGAGTAGTATATTTCTTTATAATATGTCTTAGAGAAGATTCATCTTGTTTGTAATTAATATGCATTTGGTTTTTGTAATAAATGTGTATGTGATTTTTAGTTGTGTGTTCGCTATCGTTATTACTTGCTTTGGTGAGGAATAGTCTAATCTGTTGGTCTAATTTGTAAGTCAACGTCATCGTTACTGACATAAAATGGAAGATATAGGTTATGTTTCAAATATTAAATCGTTTTCTGTAAATATGTCTTTTGTTCAATTTTACTGAAGATGACACATGAGACTGTTACCACCTCCTCTTTTCATTCTCCATTCTTTCTTTTTCTTTCTTTCTTTATTTATTTATTTATCTATTTATTATTTTTCCCACGGAAACCAAACAGCGTTCCTGATATGTTTTTTTACATATTTCCTCCCGATCAAAAAGGATTACTCTATTATTTATGAATTAATGACAGGGCGTCACTTACGTGTCAACTCACTATGGAGCTAATGAACAAACAGAATGATAATATGATCCTATACTAGAAAAATGTAATAATGGACATAATAATAGGGGATCAGTTTTCCATATCATTCAAGCAGACGTTAAGCACAAGAGAGTGTTATCACTTCCTATTTCTTTCTTTCTTTCTTTCTTTCTTTCTTTTTTCATTCTTTTTTTCTTTCTTTCCTTTTCTCACTGAAATCAAACAGCGTCTCAAATATGTCTTTTCCTTCTTTCCGCGCGATCAAAAAATATAGACCATCTTTTATGAAGTATTGGCAAAGCGTAACTGATGCACTATCTAGGGAACTACGGAACAATCTGAAAGTGATTATCTGAAGTAAAATTATAGCCAACGGTAGTGAATATTGGGGTACAAAATTAGACTCCGGTAGTCAGCGTAGAGGGGTCAAATTAGCCGACGGAGGTGAGTGTTGTGGGATCAAATTAGACTCCGGAAGCAAGTGTTCGGGAATCAAATTAGCCTATGGAGGGAGGTGAGCGTTGGAGGATCAAATTAGCCTACGGAGGTGAACATTATTGTAATAAATCAGTTCACAGATACCTGACCTTCGCATTTTAAGCCCACATTGACATTTTAGTGAATTTTTAAGTATCAAATAAGGTAAAATGTGATTATTTTTATAGTTTTCATAATTCTATGAAATTATCTGAGAAAAGTAATCATGAACTTTAAAATCCTATATATTAGTGAACAGTGTGGTATTTTATTTGGCCTACCTAGGTAAACTGTAAAGCTAATATATATATATATATATATATATATATATATATATATATATATATATAATTTCACCAACAGCAACGTGTTAAAGCCACTAAATACAAGGGGTTACAGAAAGGGAAAAGAACCGATAAAACGTAATTGAGGAGAAAATAAAGGAACTTTTAACGTTGTATTTATATTTTTTGAAAATCTCAGTTTGCCGAGAAAGCAAGATGCCGGAAGTGATTTTCCACAGGCGTAAAGTGCGCGAAAAGAAGCTATCGGAGTAGGGCTGCATTTAGCAATTTCAACTGTAAAATGACGAGACTTAGCTGCCAGTCTTGTACTGTGCTTAAATTCGTAAAGTTAGGCCACCAAAGAGGAAATTTCCTCAAAACAATTTTCACGAAAACATTTCTAGGAAAAGCAGTAGGAAGGTACGCTACGGCGGTAGGAAAGTGGTTAAAGCCTAGATAAAAGGTCAGGGACGATTCTTCTTTCGAGTTTGTGAATAACCTGTTGATATATAGCAGATGTACTAGGCCAGATTCAATGCACGGACGAATGGTAGTCTTTTATAAGGAGCAAGATCGATTCTGGCGTGACAAATGGTACAAAACGACACATTTCCTACGAGAAGGCGTGATGAGTTATTCTCCTAGTGGTTTACACCAGCCATGCTGATGGAAGGTACAGAATGAAGAAATGATTACTGCCCTGATCCGAACGTCCGACTTAGAGATAACAGGACAAACGCCCGTCTGGTTGATCAACAGAGTAAAAAAAAACTTAAAAATATTAAATTTGACAGAGTGCACAGATTAATGTGCACTAATATGTCTTTTACGTTTTACCGCGCGATCAAGACAGGATAGTCCATCATTTATGAAGTATTGGCAGGGGTAAGGGATGCGCTAACTTATTAAGAAAATGCGGAAGAAGCTGAATGCAATTATCTGAAGTAAAATTATAGTCAACGGTAGTGGTTGTGGGGGGTCAAATTAAGGTCGTGATATGAGCATAGGTCGATCAAATCAGACACCGGAAGTGAGCGTTGGGGGATCAAATTAGCCACCGGTGGTGAGTCTTGGGGGATCAAATTAGCCTCCGGAGATGAGCGTTGTAGGGTCAAATTAGACCCCGGAGATAAGCCTTGGCCGTTCAAATTAGTATAAGGATGTGAAAGATGGAGGATCTAAATAGCCGACGGAGGTGAGCTTTGGAGTATCAAATTAGACTCCGGAGGTGGGCGCTGGGGGATCAAATCAGACTCCGGATGTGAGCATTGCGGGGGTCAAATTAGGCACCGGAGGTGAGTGTTGGGGGTATCAAATTAGACTCCGAAGGTGAGAGTTGGGGGATCAAATTAAATTCCTGTGGTGAAAGTTGGTGGAGCAAATTAGCCTATGGTGGTGTGATTTTTTTTTTAATGAACTTTAAAATATTAAATTGAACAGAGCGCACAGATTTGATGACGATTTTCGGAGAGGGGTCAAGACAAAACAAAATAACCGAATGGATAATGTGTTAGCATTTTGACTATGAGACCCGGGTTTTAAATCTCATCACGGTCAATTAGTTTGACCTTGACTGGTTTCGTCATCGGAAGACATCCCCGATGTCCGGTGCGCGACAACGTTGACTAGTACCTGAATACCATTCTACAATTTTAGCTAAGCCTTGTCAGTTGAATTGCGTAGAAGACATTGTCGTTAAAGAGTCGATAGTTGTGCTAGTGGGGCAATAGTGTCTCTTCAGTTTCGGATGGGAATCCAGAGAAAATGCTTCGATAAAATCAATCAATCCTTAGCAGTGTGTGCTCCTCGTGGGAATTTGGCATAATGAATTAAATACTTATGTCATGTGAGTTACAAAATCTGCAGCCGCATTTTATTTTTACCTAGTCTTTAAGTATATATTTAACCTTAGTATTTATATTTTACCTAATATCTAAGTTTAGACTTTAAAATTTTTACCAAAGTTTAACACTTGCGAAAGGGCGAAATTTAACTCTAATCCAAGGCACAAATTCTACCTAAAATCTAACACCATCTCTAACCCTTGTTTTAAAATTTGCATAATAACTAACACTAAATTTAAACCGAAGTTTAAACTTCACATAATAGCTAACACTAAATGAGTTGTAATCAAATATATATCAAATATAGATTAAATATGTATCGGAATCCTCGGAATAAGTTAAGGAACAAATAAAAAAACGTTTATGAATCTATCAGGTTTGAATTTTGTTAAAGCTTCATCAAAGAATTAGATATGGCATTTTTTTTTTACTTTTGTTCTTGATTTTCAATGGTTAATCAGTTTTCATGTTTACACCAACGTACATATAATTTGCGGCGTTCCGAATTTTCATTGATTAAATATTTTTCATGTTTGCACCAAGGTATATATAAATTGTGGCGTAATCTAAGCACTAAATCTAAACCTATGCTTAAACCTTAACCTAGCTTTTACAAAAGGCTAAAATCTGTTTAATGTCTAACCTAAAGTCTTACACATGGCTTGGATTTTGCCTAATGTCTAACCCTAACACTTATACAGGGCTTAAATTTAACTACTGTCTAATCCTATCTCTTAGGGCTTACAATTTGCTTAATGTCCGACACTAACTCTTACACAAGCATTACACTTTAATTAAGGTCTCATCCAAACTCTTACAGAGGCTTTAACTTTATTATAATGTCTAACCTTAACTCTTGCACAAGGCTTAATCTTTATAATAATCTCTAAATCTAATTCTTATACAGGGCTTAAACTTTATAATAATGTCTAATTCTTTCTATTACTCAGGGCTTAAATTTTATATAATATCTCACCCTAACTTTAACCATAGGCTTAAATATGACCTGATTGTTAACGCTCTATACACCCTAGGTTTAAAAGTTACTTAATATTTATTCATAATACTTAAAATGTATCTGAGAAATAGAACCCGTCTTTGCCTTCTCCACCGTTCGATATTCCGTGTTTCCTTCTCTTAGATTGGTTACTATATCAACTAAAGGAACCCAGTGTAAACTGGGTTTGAACCTATAGCTGAGGTAAGAGATGGATTCAACGTTTTCAAAAAGGCATTTTATGCCAAATGAAAGCAATAGACTTGACCAGAATCTGAACTCGGTTCGTCAAATCCACCTCCATGATCATCAGCCGGCTAATAAAAGCTATTTGTATAAATCTACAGTCGATACTTATCGGATGTAATTTATTACCTCAGGTTATATACGTATTCTGAAGCGTTTTATAGTGATTGTGCGTTAATCGGGTTCGATCATCAGACATTTATGTCCGCATCCCTTTTCGCTAACATTTCTATCAAACACGCAACTACCGACTAGAATTTGCGTAGGTGAGAACTTATTGTTAAATAAATTGCGAAGTTAACAGACTTGGCTTATCTTCAACATAATGAAGCGCTCTTCACGATTATTGTATTTAGCCACTTCTTCCCTTCGACTGGACTGCAAGAAGTCTTTGAGATCAAAGAAATCTTTTTTGCCAATTGTCTCTCATCTCTAGTTACAAACTATTCATTTCTTCTTTGTCCGTTTTTCTTCTTTCTGAAAAGTTATCAATAAGAAAAAGAGAAGGTAGAATGAATAATATATTAATATCAAATCAGACATAATGGGCGGTTATTCGTTTTGCGAGCACACCCCTCCGCTCGGGCGGCTGGCCAATCCTTGTTGTAGATGCCGGCTCAGTTCAACGCCAACAGAGACGGCCTGCGGTTTATACAGCAAATAATCTGAGAGGACCGTTGTTACAGTTTCCGGTAGAGAGCGCAAGATATGTCATTGAACAATGCCGACCAAACCCTCAGTCACGATGACATGCGACATCGTGCTAACACAAGCACTGAGAGCTTGCAAAACAATTCTTTCTAACCATTTTCTCTCGGAAGTCTCCGATCAACCTGTGGTATGGGTTTCACACAGCTCACCCCAGACCAATAGCTTCAAGAAGGACCCTCCACTGACAAACCTACTACGCTAAGATTCGAACACAGGTCTCATAGACGGAAAGCAAATGTTCTAATCACTCGACTACGCGACCATATTACACACACACACGCACACACATACACACACATCTATCTATCTATCTATCTATCTATCTATCTATCTATCTATCTATCTATCTATCTATCTATCTATCTATGTGTATATAGATAGATAGATAGATAGATTATCTATCTATATACACACACACACAGGGGTGGAGACTGAGGTCAACACCAAGTAGCAACAGTCTTTTTCATATTTGGACGCTATATACAGAGCGGATATATATAGAAATATATATATATATATATATATATATATATATATATATATATATATATATATATATGTATGTATGTATATGCGGTTGCATGGAGAGTTGTTTGTGACCTTAGGTTTCACGATATCACGATCTTCAGACAATCGTGAAAGCTAGGTCTATCAGGATATTGAGCACTTTCCAGTAAATACCCGTACACACACACACACACACACATATATTTAAATATAAATCTATAATATATATTATATATAATTATTAATATATATAATATATATATATATATATAATTATTAATATATATGTAATATATAATATACATATAGATAATTAATAATTATTTACATATATATAATATATATATTAATTATATATATATATATACATACACACACATACACCATACACACACACACACACACACACACATATATATATATATATATATATATATATATATATATATATATATATATATATATGAGATGCGGCTGAAATGTCTCTCAAATATACCTCCCAGATAATCCTCCAATATAATAAGGCATTAGTGGCAATGGTATCTCCATCACGCTAATTTAGTGGGGGGATTTCTGGGAGGTTCATGATGAAATTATTTCTACTGCACACTTTATGTGTATCTTCTATATACACCTTTACTGTCATATTTGGCACTTTTTTTCCCTTTTATCCATATATAACTTAAGACTATATCTTTCATCATATATATGTGATCTTATTCCTTTCACAAAAATACATCTTTCATTTATTTTTACCAAAGCAGTTGACATCAATTAACAATATGGCGATATAGATAATTCTTTACTAAAATATCTTTTTCATTAATGTTTAACTTTCATTTCCTTCATCTTAATTTTAGTTATTTTTATAGCAACTACTCTATAAATAATTTTGTTTGTTAGAAGCATATTCAGGCTATGCTAATAAATACCTTTACATTTTCTAGTTCTTGCCAATTGTAAATACTCGGATTCTCACTCCACAGCCATGAATAAGCTTTCGGCAACATTTAAATTTTTTCCCATGGAAATTCACATTCCCTCCGTATTCTATAGGTGAGAGTGAGTTCCACTGGAGCAGCTTCTTCCGAAGAAACAATATTCTGTGGGACCAACTCCCAAGATAACGTTTCCCTGATCAATACAATCTTAACCTGTTCAGACCAGAGGATAACCATTATCTTCGCCTCCTATCTGCAGAAATAGCCTCTTAACGTAACCCTCTACACCGAGTGGGCATCCGGCCTTGTATAGAGTGAAAATTATTGTAAAAAATCCAAACTTACATGGTCAATTGACAAAAGACCAAAAACATCAAAAGATTGTTACTTCGTCTGTCAGTTATATATGTAATCATTAGAGTGAATGAATGTCTTGAGGCATTTGTTTAATATATCATTTTCGTTATATATGTAATCATTACAGTGAATGAACGTTTTGATGGATTTGTTTAATAAATCATATCCTTTATATATGTAAGCATTAGAGACAATGAAAATTTTGAAGGATCTGTTTAATAAATCCTATCCGTTATATATCTAATCATTAGAAGGAATGAAAGTTTTGATTGGTTTGTTTAATATTATTTGACTTAATACAATTATTCCTGTCGAACCGTGAAATGAAGTTCGTCCTAAACGGGTTCTCCTCCGGCTCCTTTATCACGAACGCTGGTGTCCCCCACGGCTCTATCGTGGCCCCTACACTGTTCCTGATCTTCATCAATGACCTTCCCGATGCCATCAGTTCCCAAGTTGGCATCTACGCGGACGACACCACCATTTAATCCTGCCTCAGTAGTAAATCTAGTATCGTTGACAAAACTAACCTGGCTGCTGATCTTAAAAAGAACATCTAATCTGGGGCAGGAAATGCCTTGTAAACTTTAATGTCTCCCAAACGAAACTGCTCTCCTTTACCCACCACAGAGATCCCTTCCTGCCTCTCATCAGATTGACTGATACCCAACTCCTTGAGAACGCCTCGTTAGGTCTGCTTGGTCTCATGCTGATCACTGATATGAGGTGGAATTGATACATTGAATCAATAGCTTCATCTACCGCAAGGAAAGTTGGCTCTATGTGTCGTGCCAGAAAGTTTTTCTCGTCTGGGTTCATCTTTCAAATCTACAAATCAACCATCCGTCCTTGCACGGAATATTGCTGTCATATATGGTCTGGTGCCCTCGCTGTACGTCTCGAAGTCCTTGACAAAATCCAGAGAGGAATGTGCAAGATGATAGGTCCTGATCTGTCATGTAATCTACAATCGCTATTCCACAGACGTACTCTTGCCTCCCTCTGTCTCTTCTACAAATATTTTAACGGCAACTGTTCCGACAAGCTACTTTCGCTGGTTCCCGGACTACCACCCTTTCACTGTCTCCTATGACTATCATCTTCAAATATTCAAGTTCGATGTCAATCGGCATCTGAATCCCTAAGCTTGTTCCTCGTTCTTCTCTCAAACACACCTCTTACTCTTGTTCTCAATCCTCTGTAACCACTTGCGTGCTAGTGGCACTCTCGATTGGGGCGAATGCCTTAAAAAAAACTAGGGAATGTTATTGAATAGAATAATCACTCGAAGGTTGGTAATGAACGATAATACTTAGATACGAACAACACATATAAGATTCGCCACAATGAATCCCAAACTGCAGGATATCTACCAACTTCCCCACACGGTCAGATGTGGCACAAAGCTGAATTTAATCTGGGGTATCCGACCACATATGCTCGGTCAAAATTTCCCTGTAGACTCCCGTCTAAAAGGAGGTCGGGTAGCTGTTTCCCCGAGACGAGACTCTGCCCTTCGACATATCCTCGTCTGGGGGTCCTCTCTGGCCAGAGGCAGAGAGTTTAACCAGCACAGCCGGAGATGAATCTCCAACTAGAGAGCAACATACAGTATTTACTACTGTATTTATCGTCCGTAGGTATGCTACAACATAAATCCTATCCGTTATATACGTAATCATTAGAATGAATGAATGTTTTCAGGTATTTTTTTTAATATATCCTATGCGTTAAAATTCGTTCCTTATTCTATATTTTTGTCTGATCATGTAGTAAAATTAATATTTTAGCGATATTACCCTGCTTTAATTATTTTTATGTTGCGATTTTAAATACTCTTTTTCCTCTTCGCTTGTACTCTGGAATGAGACCTGTACACTGTTTTCCGTATATAAGACCTGTATATATGTTTTACCAGCTCATTCTTCGAAAAGTAAGCGTTAACAGTTTTTCTTATTTATTATGAAAATTAATATTTAATGTTTTCAGAAAAGCGATATATATCATCTCATTAGCTTTTTATAGACTGAGGCCAAAGTTCATCCAAACAAAATATAGGGGGCAATGAAGTCTCTCCCTAAGACATACTTCTAGCGTCGTAGTTATGTCTTCAGCATAAACATTTAGTTGAATTCTGAAAACAGCCCAGAATTTGATAATAGGAAAGGCGGATAACTGAAACCATCGTTCAGGTTTAATTTGAACTCTTTTAAATTCTTTTCGAACAAATTTCAATGAAGAATAAAAAGACACGTTAATAAGATACGACAGGCATTAATCCAGAATAAACGAATAGATAACAAACAAGAATCTAATGTTGAGCGCCATTTTCCAGTGTTGCTGAACGAAAAAGTTTATAGAAAACATTTTAATGACAACGCCTTATTTTCGGATCCCAACGCGAATAATATATCCCATCCTTTTTTAGCTTTTCAATCATCGAACCAATGCCTTCTGCTGTCTGTTGAACAATAATCAAATATTTCAACTAAAGAATAGCTTAACGCTTGAAATCAAGTAGACTCGTTGAGGTTCAATGCTTTCATTGCAATCTTTCCTTTGATTGCTTCATCAAATAAAACGTCACAGTAATTTAATTTGACTTAATTTCTAAGTGATTTTGAATTTCCCCTCAAGCAAGGCGGAAATAATACTACCACGCAGGGTTTTACAGGGAGTGAAAGGAAGAGAAAAGAGTAAGATTAGGGAGGATTGGGGAAACGACAAAAGATGAACGGGATTCAAGAAGATAGAAGATGGCGATTGACGTTGCATTTAAATTTTTGAAGATTTTATTTATCAGCGAAGCAATTAAACAGAAAGGATTTCCACAGGCGGGAACTGCAAGAAAAGAAATAGTTGGAGTAGAATTGACTGTTGCATTTAGCTATTTCAAAAGTAAACGGGTGGTATCTACCTGACAATCTGTTAGCACGATTAAAATAATGTAGTCAGGGCTCCATAGTAAAAAGCTCGTCATAAAATGAAAATATTTGTAGAAAAGGCAGAGAAGTTGCACAGATTTCTGTACACACACACATACATACACACACACACACACACATATATATATATATATATATATATATATATATATATATTAAGAAATGGACAAGGTCCGACAATTTATTTATTAAAGACATTTTTATGTTTAACGTTGTTATTTATAGATACAAGTATTTAAGCAAATGCTCTGTTTACGATAAACAGTATTAAATAACATTTACCGGCCTGAATGTCCGAGAAATTTTCATAGAAAATATTCGTTCTTTGACAGGATTCGAACCTGCATCCTATACGGAACCGTCATTTACGCTGACGTGCCTTACGTGATACGCCAGAGCAGTTATGAATGTACGAGATTCATGGAAGATTGAAGTTTATAAGCAGTAAATTCGACCTTGTCTACCGAAAAGGTTCTTTTGTGGCCCAGAGGTAAGGCACGTCAGCGTAAATGACGGTTCCGTATAGGATGCAGGTTCGAATCCTGTCAAAGAACGAATATTTTCTATGAAAATTTCTCGGACATTCAGGCCGGTAAATGTTATTTAATACTGTTTATCGTAAACAGAGCATTTGCTTAAATACTTGTATCTATAAATAACAACGTTAAACATGAAAAATGTCTTTAATATATATATATATATGGCAATGTTTTAGTATGAGGTATTTCGTCCTGTAGTACTTCATCAGCACTGAGAAAAAGGAAAGCAGAAATGTTAGAATAGGCTTTCAATTGTGAATTAGGCAACATTAGTAATTCCTTTATAGACAAAAGGTTGTAAAAGCGGAATTTATCACGTGATTTCTCGATTTCAAATACACAATATTTTCAACACTGTTCCTCGCTTAAATGTCTATCTCTCTTCTTTACTTTCCTTCTCTTTCTTTTCCACTCCCTATCTTCTTTCTGTCACTTCACCTTTTTCTTACCCTCTCTCTCTCGTTTTAAACTTCTTTTCTGCCTTCTTTCTAGTTTCCATTATCACTGTTTCTCTCGCTTTCTTTCCGCTTCTTTATTTTTAACTTTCTTTTCTCAGCTTTCCTTATCTTGTTCTTTTTTCTCTATTTTTTTGCCCTCTCGTTCTTTGTTCCTTTTATTGCTTGTTGTTCTAGGCACTATTTCTTTCTTTCTTAATTTTTCGCTTTCTTTTCTTTACTTTCTTTCGTTCTTTTTCCCCTCTAATTTTCGTCTTTCTTTGATCTACTTCTCTCTGGTACTTTACTGTCTATATGCTAATGATGTTTACCTACCTACCTACTTGAGCTATGCATTACTCACAAAAGGAAAAAGAAGTTATCACATAAGAACTCTACATGTTCTCTTTATCTTTCTTTCCCCCCTCATATTTTGCTTTCACTTCTTCACTTACTTACTCTCGTTCTTGATTTTTTATAACGCTCTTTTTATCTATTACCCTCTAAACTCTATCGCTTTCCATGTTATTTCTTCAATTAGCAGCTGTCTTTTCCATTCTTCTTCTTCTTCGTCTTCTTCTTCTTCTTCTTCTTCTTCTTCTTCTTCTTCTTCTTCTATGTCCCTTCAGAACGTGGACGATCATGGCGCTCCGCAATTTCCTCTCTTTCGTAGCTCTTAACAATGTTTGCCTTTTTATGATAGATCCCAATTCCGGTTGTGCCACCCATTTACACAAGCACATGAGTAAAGATACTCACCTTTTTCCTCTGTTCCGCTTGCCTTTGATATGTCATGTGAGCGTTAAATTCCCCAAACCTTCCTTCCTCGTTACGTGTCATAGAAATATCTATTGTCTCATTCTGATTTTATGTATAGTTTGTCTTTTTCTTTAAAGCTTCATCATTATAGCAGTTCAGCACTCGTTTCTTTGTTTCTAACGATATTTTCCTATCTCTTAATACTTTGCTTACTTTCTGAAAGGCATGAGGAGATTGTCTAACATTCACTGCCATATAAGAGATTAGATATTACATAACAGTTCAGTACTATTTGTTTCTAACGACATTTTCCTATCTCTTAATACTTTGCTTAGTTTCTGAAAGGCATGAGGAAATTGTTCAGCATTTATTGGCATATAGAAGATTAGATATTACATAGCAGTTCAGCACTCTTTTCTTTGTTTCTAACGATATTTTCCTATCTCTTAATAATTTTCTTTATTTTCTTAAAGGCATTAGGAGATTGTCCAGCATTAATTGTCATATAGGATACGAAATGTTATACAACAATTCAGCATAGATCAACGTTAAGACTATCAACGTCCCAAGACAATAATTCTTGCTTTTCTTTCTTTTTCTTTTTCTGTCCTCTAACATTAAATACCCCGATGGTGAAATGATTCATGTGGTATTGGAGGTATTTACAAAGTTTTGAATAAAATTTGATAACTTTTAATGACTGACAACAGACGAATTGTTCATTTTTACGATCCAAAATATGTTTCGGATTTACATAAACTACAAAGGGCTGATAAACCTTAGAAAAAAACAAAAAAACAAATCAATCACAAAAAAATCCGTCTAAAATTCGAAACAAAATAAATTTTAAAATATTGAAAATATCCTGAAAAATGCGTTTTCTTTTCCTATATTTATAAATCTTTGACAGTTTGACAAAAAAAAGTTCGAGCCCGCAAAAAACGGTGTGTCAAGATGGCGGTAATTCCATCGGCCATTCTCTCGCCTATGTTTATTATTTTAAAAAGTGATGATTAAAATTTTGATAAAACCTAAACATATGAAAGTGTATTTATGCATATTCTTTATTCTTGAGAACTGACAACAAAGATGTTAACAATATTTATTTATTAGATTTTTTCAGATATTATTATACATCGTACTAACATACACACATATATATATATATATATATATATATATATATATATATATATATAGATATAGAGAGAGAGATATTCAGCTGAATAAACCACCAGGAGGAGACCGTAGAGATCGAAACCGTAGTAGTGTTCTCTAGTCAGCTTTCATCCTTTTTAAATATTAAACAGCTCTGCAAGTCTGATCTTCCGACGTTTTATTGAGCACTTTTAATGCGTTCAGTTTTAACAAATATTTTACTATTTGTTTATATATATATATATATATATATATATATATATATATATATATATATATATATATATATATATATATATATATATATATATATATATATATATATATATATATATATATATATATATTGAGCAGGATGACTCACTGTTTTTTTGTTGTGTTTATAAATAATGTTAAAATGATAATCGCCAATTTTCTCAATACGGAAAAATTAAATTATTTGACTAATGAATCAAACTGTTATGAAACTTCAGCAAACCGCCGTGCCAGCCAAAAAAAAAACAAAACAAAAACAAAACAGGACAGTTATTACCTTAACACCGCTATTACTGTATACTGTTTTGACTTCCTCGGCAATGTTTATTGCTTTAAAAAGCAATCATTAGAATTTTAATAAATCCCAAACATATGAAAGTTGATTTATACATTTCTCTATCCATGAGAACTGACAACAAAGATGTTAAACACTATTTATTTATTAGATTGCTTATTTACAAAAGTGATAAAATTATACAAATATGTGTATAAACCAACTATAATGAAATATTTATTATTTTCCATTTTATAAATATGAAAATATTTCCCTTTATTTATAAATTTATAAAAATGTCTGCGAACAAGAACATTGAAATAAGCACATAATGGCGAGTAACTGAAATTATAAATTTTCAAAAACTACATTCTTCGCACTATTCTTTCATTTGCTCATAAATTCACTCAATTAGGTTGAAAGCGTCTCTTCCTCTGAACTAAACATTAATTTTAGATTTTCGGTGGAACCACAAACACTTAATATTTTGAGTGTGTATCTCCCTATTCATTGGTTGGACAAAGTTTCCATTGTGTTTCATTGCAGAATATCTGTAATTTTTACCGCACATTGTTGATGGTTTACATATTCTGATAACTTGTTTTTATAAATTTTTGAATAAAAAGATTTCTTTTCAAGTTTGTTTCTTCATAAAATGGTAAAAAATAAATCTTTATAAAAAGTAAACAACAAACATCGCATTGTACATGGTTGCCATATTTTTATATATAAACATTGCCGAGAGAGTTAAAAGTCTATACAGTAATAGCGATACCGAGGGAATAACTTTCATTTCCTGCTGTTTTGAAGGTACATAGGTTAAACATCGCCGATAGTTTTTTGTTAAAAAAATAAAGATTCATCCAGAAAAACCTCTCTAAAATTCTAAACAAATAAACTGAACTAAAATGAAAAAAATAATATCGAAAGCAGTTCTTGAAAATATATTTTCTTTTTCTGTGTTTATAATTCTTCAGTACTGATAATTTTTTATAAAAAAAAATCGAACAAACGGATAAAAAAATTATACTGCGTCATGGTTTTGTGTTTTAGTTCAGAAAACAATAAAACCCCTTTTCCCTACTTAAAACAATAATAAAAATGACGTACACAGAACGTAACATGAAACATTTGCACGGCGCAATTATTATCCATGGCGCTCGTTGGCAGTTCAGTGGCTTTCCACTGAAACATTGTTTCATGATTCATGTCACGTGACACACGCTTCGTATCTTTTCTGTCAGTCGGCATAAATCTCCATTCTTCCAAACTCAAACACCTACGCGTTCTCTTTGTATTTTCCATCAGAAAAATAATTCTGTGGTCGGTTGAAAGTGAACAAATCAAATAAAATAAAATCAGTAATCAGTATAGTCAACATTGCAAACGAAACAACCCAAGATGCGAACTACGAAATGTAGGCATCAAAATCAAGCAATTCCAGAAATTGAAATATCTAGGAAGTTTTTTTTTTTTTAGAGAGAACGGAATGTGTGACACTGAAATCCGAATGCGCATTGGTATAGCGAAAGATGTCTTCCAAAAGCTAAGCAAAGTATTAAGAAACGAGAAAAGTTGGTTAGAAACAAGGAAAAGAGTACTTAACAGTTACACTCCAAATTAGACTACGTGTAAGGGTTCATTTTTCTATGTCTCCACGTCGTAACCTAATGTGACACAAGGTCAATTTAAAGTGGGTTTAACTGCAATACCGTGGGAAAAAAATTGCTCAGGCCCACAGGGCACTTCCTGTCAGGCACCAGGCAATAAGCACAAATCCATCTCGAAGGTGAGGTACTGCTTGCGGGGACGTTCCCTGGGGCTTGAGCATAATATTACTTTCAACCTCCCCTGAAGTCCGAAACAAGGGAAGTATGAAATAATGTGTAAAGGTAGCAACATTGTGTCTCAGAAAATTCGTATCAAGACTATTACCTTTGTTGGGGTTGATGTCATTTTTAATAGACAAATAGGAATTATGACACACGGTGTTTATATTGGGTGTAAAAAACAGAGTCACAGTGGTTTGAAACCCGCTATCATGCAATTAAATTTAAATTCATAAAATTAAACAAGTCCACCTACGCTGAAAAGGTTCTTTTTTGTTTTGGATTCGTGGTTGTCAAAATTTTAGAGTATTTTATTCGTAATTATCTCTCTATTGTCTTTAGCCTCCTACTCTTTCCTTGATATCTTTTGAAATTGAATTCTTCCTTTCTGTTTTCTGTCTATCGAATTTTCTCAAATACAAATACCAGAGAGGACATCTTCCCCCGTGTTGATGCTAGGCTTTGTGCAATCTCTTGAAGAAAAAAAGAGAAAACACGAGAAAGAGTGAGAGAGAGAAGAATACCTCCTCCACGTTTCGTTCGTTTTATATATATATATATATATATATATATACTTTTTTACTTTACTTTTTTCAATCACGTCAATCATCACATGTTTCTATCACCGTCGTTTTAAGTACTATTTATTGTTTCGTAATTCTTTTCATGTCTTTTTTTTCCATTCATTTGAGACGAATGAGTCAAAGCCGCTGAAACCCACTTCAGTTGTTGCTTCTTAACTGTCTTATTTCTGTCTTGTTCGGTTTACATCGCGAAGCGGTAAGCTTTGTGGGCGCCACCGTTGTGCTGTCGGTAAAGGAATTAACTTCGGGGAAGCTCACCAAGTTTCGAATCCCAATAAAACAATGGTTTTAGTTTAAGGATTTACAAAGAAAATCGTCTATCAGAACGTAGGCGGTCATGATTCTCCACAGTTTCTTTTTCTGTATTATCAATAAATTACCGTTCATTCTTCGGAAAATAATAAAGTCGTCTCTCATTGCCGCAGTTTTTCTTCTTTTAAACTGTAAGGCAACCAGGGCTAAAGAACCTAGTCTGCCTTGATTTTTAATCTATTGCTCGCAGGCATGGGGAAGATGATTTCCTGAGTTCGTTAATACGAAACGGAACGAAACAGATTTGCCCGGAATATTGAAATAAAATATATTTGCTACTCTGGACAGCCGCGTTGTTTCTCAGATTGTTACCGACAACTCCAGACGTACAGAAGAAAATCTATATATACAAGGGTTTCCCTATATGAAATAAATACCAGATTGAGTCAAAGGTTTTTCGGATTTTCACTGACGGTTCTGGTAAGATTTATCTCCATGTTATATCGCTAATTTACCTCTGATGGTTGCTCATTGTCGTAGTGGAGGGGCTTACGTGGTCAAATGAGTCTGAGAACGTTCAAAACTCCTGTTAAGGCCACCCTTGGCGGCAACATCGAGGACGATCTCAGTCAACCCCAAAGACCCCAACGGTGGAACAAACGGATGACGATTGCAACAGATCTCAACGGTTAAAACATCGGATGAAGAGGGCTACGCATGACGAACATGCTACAGAAGGTGCCATTTGAAATTATAAGAGTCAGCGGCAGTCCGTTGTCATATCATAACTGGATTCTACATGTCTCATTTCCTGTGTGCCGCAGAGAAAGTGAAATCAAGTACGTGGGTCAATTCTTGGCAAGTTGAGGCCGACCTTAAATAAATTCACGCCATGTGCACTTTTTTACTCTAATTTTCTGTCAATACTTTCAAAGCCACACGCCAATAAGGAATGCATGATGGTAGCAGGTCTTTCGTGTAACTGGAAGCTTCTTGGCATGAACCTGCACATTGGAGGCAAACTTACGCATCAACGCTAGTATCATAAAGGAAGCGATCAGCAAAGAAGACATTAAAGTCTTGGATACAAATAAATCCGACGATGTCAAATATCATTAATTTGATGCAACTTGTCCAATCGTTGCTGAATTGTTTATTCTTTATTTTCATATATAACATTAATTATTTATTCTTTATTCGACAGCTTTGATAAAGAGTGGTAAAGAAATAGCAATTATAGCCATTTTACGCTGTAAGGATTGAATGTAAGGGCAGCGACAAAAGAAATTAATGATGGAGAAGTTCCCAGGAATTGTCAACAAACGTGTGGCACAAAACTGGGTCAGAAGTTTCAAGGAAGGTGTCAGCAGCGTCAAAGAAAAACCAAGGTCAGAGAAACATTCAGTTGTAAATGAAGAAGTCTTGCTTGAAATGGCTAAACAACAGCGAAACATAAGTATTCGTACATTGCCGATAGAACTTGGTCCTTCACAAATCACCATCTGTCGATGCTGACGAGTGGTTTCTCATGAACTGACCAATGATCAGGCTCAAGAACATATGAACTTTTGCAAACAATTGCTGGCAAATCCTCAAGATGTCCGTTTTGGGACGTCCAATTCCAACTGGTGGTAAAAAATGGATCTATTTTCGTAATTCTAATAAGAGAAATCAGTGACTTGGTTCCAGGCCAGGCTTCAGAACCTGTTATCAAATAAGGACCTTTTGAAGGTCATGAAAGGTCATGTTTTGTGTTTGGTGGAATTTCTAGGAGGTACATATTGAAATTATCTCTGATGGTCCTTCTGTGATCGCTGACCTTTACATTCAACAGCGAGTATATGATACTTTGAACCCTCGCCGACAGGCATTAGCTAATCAAATGCACGCACTCCTACAGCAAGGCAATACCCCAGCACACACTACCAATGTGACCAAGCACAAACTTGAGGGGCAGGAAGTGATGCCTTATCCTTCCCAGACCTTGCACCATTAGATTACCACCTTTTCCAAGGCATGTCATTCCCTGTGCGTACAGAGGTTCAACAATGTGGATGAGGTCGAAAACGGACACAGGGTGTATAAGCATGGAATTCTACTTGTAGCACAACGATGGCAACAAACTTAAATATAATGGAATATATTTTGATGAATGAATTCTTTCCGTATGTAATTTGTTTGAGTTATTAATTAAAGACTGAAATACAAAAAAAAAACGGAATATGTGTATAGGGGTTGGTAAAAAGTACAAAAATATGTAAAATTTTAGATAACTGCAAGTAAAGTCTAATTATTCTAATATATATATATATATATATATATATATATATATATATATATGGTGTTCAATGACTTGGACCGATTATAAATGTGAATTTTTTTTTTTTAACAACTAAAGTCTTTGGCAATTTCAACCATGGAAAGATTAACAATCAAACAACGTGTTAAAGTTATCAAAGCCTGTTACGAAAATGGACGTTCAAACAGAAATGCATTTCGCGCACTTCGCGATTTTTGGGGTCAACATGATCTACCAACCGAGAGTTCAATTGGAAAAATTGTTCCTAAATTCAAACAAACTGGATCGGTGGCAGATGTGAAAATACCATTGCGTGCTCGTTTACGCCGTTCAGCTGAAAACATTGCTGCAGTGCACGTGAATGTGGCCGAAAATCCAGACCCCTCTCTTCGTCACCGCACGCAGGAATTAAACCTCTCCACAACAACGTTACATCATTTCCAATTGCACTCTCGGTTGGTCGATTATGTTGACCAAAATTCGCGAAGTACGCGAAATGCATTTCTGTTTGAACGGCCATTTTCGTAATAGGCTTCGAAAACTTTAACCCATTGTTTGATCGTTAATCTTTCCATGGTTAAAATTGCCGAAGACTTAAGTTGTTAAATCTGCAAGAAAAAGAAAAAAATCATTAGACGCTTAAACTTCATTCACATTTAAAATCGGTCCATAAACATGTGTCCGAAAGGCCATTGTTGAACCTCAAAACAGCAACTCAAATGTTCAAAATGTCCTCAGCTTGCTTATACACACACATGGACCCGTCGGATCATTGACTGGCAGACACTTTCAAATACTCCCACAAGGTGTCGAATGGTTTCGCAGGTCCCCAAGACACGTTGATGAAGCATTTCTGGATTATTAATGCCTGCTGCATAAACCAAATGTTTTAAGTGGCCCCACATTTAAAAATACAACGGATTGAGATCGGGGTAACGTGCAAGTCATGGAACCCCTTTTCCTCTACCTATCCATCCTTCATAGTAGATGTCAGCCACAACAATGTGACTAAAATGTGCTGTAGCCTTATCATACATGAGCCACATGCTTCTTCGTATTATCAGGAGTACATATTCGAGCATGCCTTGAAGTGTGTTCGAAATAAAGTCCCTATAGACGTCTCTTGTAAAACGTGCTGGAAGAACAATATGGACCTCCCAAACAATCACCTACATTTGCAGGCCACACATTAATCGTACACTGATGCTGGTGTCTATTCTGTATTGTACTGTGGGGATTCCGATCCGCCTCCAAATGTTGGTTGTGTAAATATGCTATTTCATCTCTTCCAAATGTTGCCTCATCCGTAAACAGGATGGAAGAGCTGAACAACGGATCGGCAGGCTGTGCAATAAACCATCGGCAAAAGCTTTCCCGTGGTGAGTGATCAGAGGGCCAAAGACCAAAGACCTGCACACGGTTACAGGAGATGCTCTTGAAGTAACCTTAATGTGGTACTATGAGATGTACGACATGCTAGGGACACTTGACTTATGATGATGCCTGCATTGTCTCCGAAAGGCTGTAGAATGTCTTCTTCGTGGTACGAGTGGATCTCGGTCTTCCCCGATCCATAGTTTGTGGTGCTACGTATCCTGTCTCAACAATAGGATGATAAACATTAGCAAAGGTTGAATGACACGTCTGCTTTCGGTCTGGAAACGCAATCTGATACAGCCGTGCAGCTTCGCGCCCATTACCAGTCGCCCGGCCGTATGTAAAAATCATATCTTAAATATGATTAGAGTTACTGTTAAAAATTGCCGCAAAACCATGTTGATTGATTTAAGATGTTATGATCTCTTATTATGACATGTCTCTAAATTGTATTTTGATACATTATATTTATATAAAAACTACCTTATGAAAATTGAGATGGAATAGTGTGTGTTGGCTACGTAATCATAGATTCGGGGTGTTATCATAGATTGGAGGAAGGAGACGCTTGCACCAGCCATGTATGTATGTATTTATATAGAACCACCCATAAATAAATACACCACCTAGAACATTTTATACAAATTTAATTTTCTTCGCAAACAAAAGCAACAGGACTTACTTATTTCTAGTAGGACATTATACTTTCTACATACTATATGGCTTATTAAATCGTCTCCACGCAGGAGTTCGTCCATACTAAAATGACTGAAAATAATATTAGCTCAAGCTACAACGGGCCTTCCCCACCAGGCAGCTATTCTTCCTTTGGAATGGTCTTAGGATAATTAACCGGCGTCTGAGGCATCCCCACTAGGGGAAGTGCCAAGGAGCTTGAGCAATTTTTCTGCGGCTTTGCCGATATCTCACATTGAAAATTC